ACAGTTTGGTATCGGAGCGGACCTCTCAATCAGAGGATCCGCCCAGTCAAGTAGCCAGCTTGCTTGATCTACTGATTGTTGAATGATTGATTGAGTGATTTGAAACGGTTTTCACCTGTTAGCAGTAGCCAATGCAGATCCCAGGGCTCGGTCCCTAGCTCTCACCTTATCTGTGTACAGTATCTGTGTTGACCCTGAGAGTTGAACCCGTGACCTGTGTGTGTGTTCGCAGCAGTTAGGAAGCTGTCGTAGATAGACCTGTCGGGTAGAGGTCTTAGGGAGTTCTAGAAGTTGTAGCTGTAGGGCTCCTGAAGGGTCAAGGTCGTAGCTGCTACAGTCCTGAGAGGTGAAGGTCGTAGCTGCTACAGTCTTCGAAAGGCCAGGACCCAGACTTCTGGAAGGTCCTAGTAGTGGCCTTTCGAAGCTGCTCACGTTTGGCACAGAGGCAAGTGGGCAAGTGGTGGAGTCTACCTGTGCTGAGTCAGCAGTCGCAGTCCCAGTCAAGCAAGTACCGTACAGGACTGTGTGCACCACGAGCATGGGAAAGGGCCAGACCAACGAGCTACAGAAGTATAAATCAAGAGGCAGCGCCCAGCTACTGATGGATTCCTGCGTAAGCCATGCGGAAGCGCTGCCACAGCGACTTGTGCGAGGTGGTCTGCAGTAGGCCCGAAGACGAAGTGGGCGAGAAGGAAGCTTGGCCATAGCGATAGGGTAGCAGTGGCCATAGCCGCCATAGCTGATAGGAGGAGAGAGAGTGGCATGTGTGAGTGTGCGAGTGTACAGTGTGTTGCGCGTGGGATATCCAGGGTGATCCTGTGTGGGAACAGCAGTGTTGAGCAAGTGACGAACATAGAGTTGTACCGGCACTGATGCGCCAGAGCCATCTGAAGTGAAATTGTATCTGAACTGTGTTCCGGGTCTCCATATTTCTGAGTTTGAAGTGGGCGCTTGTCGCCAGTTTGCTGCACAACCTGTTTGTATGCATGTGAAGGTGAACGGAAGTGAGTCTGATTGCAGATTGATTGATTGTTTATTAGTAAATCAAGTAGGACTTCGTCAAATCTCTGCAAAAAAATTTTCTTTCTCGCAACAAATACCTGAAAATTTCTGATAGTAGCATTTCGTATATTCTGAAAATTTCTGATAGTAGCATTTCGTCTTATCTGAAAATTTCTGATATTAGCATTTCGTTTTCATGCAACAAATATCTGAAAAATTCTGATAGTAGCATTTCGTTTCTCTGATATTAGCATCCGAAAATTTCTGATATTAGCATTTATAGCCGAAAATTTCTTGTGTTAGCATCTCGTTTTCTGGGCATACAGGTTAACAAGGGAGGTGTTCATATTCTCGGAAACTGGATTTATTCTTTTCTGAAAATCGAACCTCCATTCTATTTCACGAAAAAAAAAAATTGTTCCTGAAAGCCGAAATTTTGTGAAGCCTATCAGCATTTCGTTTGCTAGGCATAATAGGAGGTTGTCATATTCTCGGAAACTGGATTTATTATTTTCTGAAAATCGAATCTCTATCCTATGTTCACACAATTTTTTTTTTTGAAAGACGAAATTTTGCGAAGCCTTGCCTAGATCTTACTCTTAGCACTCCTCCGTAAAACGCCTCACTGATAGCAGATCGACAGATATACAAAAAAAGAAAAAGAAAAAAAAAAGTGGGGGTGATCCTCTTCTTTTATTTTTTATTTTTATTCTGTTGATTAGGACCGAGAGGAAAGTACAGTTTGGTTGGTTACCTTCCTGCGTTTTCCCTCCCACCCAACCCTTTTGCCTGCATTCCCGTTTTGGTAAGTGCCAAGTCCGCAGTGCCACGGCAGCAGCAGTGCCACATCAACAGTGCCACGACAGCAGCAGTGCCACGTCGGTAGTACCTCGTCAGCCGACACTGTACAGCTAACTGCAGCTTATGCTCCGACGCAGCAAACGCATCGCAGCACGTGAAGGGCGCGCAGCCGCAGCGGAAGAGCAGCTTCCCCTGCCCCACCCCTCTGCAATGGACGCCCAGGGCAACCCCACGGTGGACAATGCCGCATCCGGCAGTCCACGCGAGGCGTGCAGCTCGAACCCCCTGGTCCCACAGGTCCAGCAGGTGGGTTCCACTGCGACACCTTTGGGAGCCCTCGACACTGCACCAGTCCGGCAGCAAGGAGAGAACATGATGGCCTTCCTGGCCCGCCTGGGCACCTACATGCAACGAGTACAAGGGGAACAACAACGCGAGGCGGCAGCCGGAACGGCACACCTCAATGCCATTGCACGCGATGCGGAGCAACGGCGCCGGCAGCACGCTGAAGCAGCTGCCAACCATAACAAAGCTCGAAGAGATGCCGCATCTGTCCTCGTGCAGCAGGAAGCCGCTCATACCGCCGCACTCCAAGCATGGAATGTTGATCCGGTGGAGACGACGGAACCAACTGTGGAGGAGCAGACCAAGTCAGCCCTCGCCAACATGATGCACCAAGTCATCCTCACTTGTAATTGGCAACAAGTGGAGCTGGCTCGGCAGGCACATACCATTGCTGAGTATAAGGAGACTCTCAAGAGCCTGCATGCCCGCCTTGACATGTTGGAGAAGGATGACGTGCCGCACAGGCACACGGCATCGCCAAGCATTGATCCATCGATCCGCAAGCTGGAAGAACGAATGGATCACCTAGTAGCGCTCGTCGGAAATTTGAACAGTTTCTGACAACTATCAGCCAGCAAATAGCCGCCCTACAAGCGGATCTGCGTCATCTGCAGCAGCAACCAACAGATGCCGAAGTTCAGCATCGACAGATTTGATGACTACCACAAGGCGGACCCCATAAGTTGGTGGCAAGGGTTCACCAACGAGCTCTCCATCCACTTGGTCCCGCCAGAGTCGAAGATCTCAGCACTTTACCTCTGCAGCACCGGTGCCAGCCAAGTGTGGCTCAACCACCTGGCTCAAACCGAAGGCGTCGATATCGCTAAGCATTACACCAAGATCACGTGGGAGGCCATAACCGAGAAGTGGCGGAAACACTTCATCGTCGACGATGTTGAAGGCAAAGGCGTGAACCGGATTTTCAGCATGCACCAAGGCAGCCAGCCAACACACGAATGGCTAAACGAATGGCAGAAACTCGTGACGATTCCGAATCTGGACATACCGTTTGTACATCTTCGTCGTGAATTCTTCCAATGGTCGGTTGACGCGTTGAGCACGGCCCTTGGGGAGCGCAGCCTGTACACGGACTTTGACCAGATCGTGGATAAGGCGCGCGAAGTAATCCAAACAAATCGGTGGGCCGCCAACGAGCGGCGAAGCCAACCAAATTTTGTGGAAAAGGGCAAACGCCCGCGGCCGCAGCAAGTCGCTGCTGTCCAATGCAATGGACAAGAGGACGACCAGGCGCTGACTCATGAGTCTAGTGAAGGAGACGGAGTCAACGCCCTTCCGCCACAGCACAACAACAAGAAGAAAAAGGTGAAATCTGCATCAACAACGAAAGTCGGACAGCCGAACGAGCCATGGAAGAAGTTCAGCCTCACGGAGGAGCAATACAAGCTCCTCCAGAGGTGGAACTGTTGCTACTGGTGCAACAGCACCAAGCACACGACGTCACAATGCCCTGGCAAAGGCAAAGAAGACGTTCGTCCACGACAAAGTTCAGGAAACTGAGCTCCGCGGGAAGTGAGGCGACTCCACTTCCTACTCTGTCGGACACGGTTGCCTTGCTAACAACCTCCTCCACGTCCGGGGAACATGCGTATGTCGCCAGTCTTCACGAAGGTTATGAAGACTACGTTGTCCAGCTGGTCCCGCCGTTGGACCAACCTCTCCACGTGCAAGAGTCATATGCGTGCGGGACTTCAGCACCATCGCCAAGTGAACCAGAATCCTCGCCGGCATTACTCGGGGACTCATCGGCGTGGTCGAGACTTGAGGACCTCGACCCATTGACACCGGAGGACGTCCAATGGTTGCCTCTTCCCCCATCTGGTTCCTTGCGGAAGCCACATTGTAACGCCCTAATGGTGGAACTACGCAACTACTTGCACGCTGCAGCACCAGCTCCGTTGATGGAAGACGGAGTAGCGGTTGTTGACCTTCGTGAGTACATTGCGAAGATTGACCGCGAGTACGCAACACAACAGTACGATAACATTGATGCACCGTTACTCTATGTCCGCATTCAGATCGGGAAGGCGACCTGCAGCGCCTTGATTGATTGTGGAGCTACTCGCAACTACATGAGCCAAGACTTCATGACACGCACCGGCCTTGGGCTGCGTGTTCGAAGGAAATCGCAACCCACACAAGTAACGCTGGCCGACGGTCGTACGCACAAGTCCATTGACCGATGCATTGACTCCGTTCCCGTGTACTTCGCCCCGCATGCACGCGAGGCCATGTCCTTTGACATATTGGACACAGTTCGACATGATTTTGGGCATGTTGTGGCTGCACAGCGAAGACCACCCGATGAACTTCTACTGTCGCACCGGTCAAGACTGGAACGCGGTGAACTTCTACCACCGCATCAGTCACGACCGGAATGGGGTACTTGTGCCATGTACGGTCCCCCCACCTCACCCTTCGATTGGTTGTCACGTGGTCTCCGCGTTAAGCATTCGCAACTTCATTGCATGGAACGGCGTGGAGGAAATGGGCATTTGTTTCTTGCACGCCCTCCCTCCTCCCAACGAGCCAGCGGCGGAACAGCCACCGAATCCACGCATTGCACAACTTCTTGACTCCTATGGCGACGTCTTTGAGGCTCCTGCCGGAATCGTACCGAATCGGCCAATTCGTCACGAGATCATCCTCGAAGACGGGGTCGTACCTCCACGCGGATGTATTTACCGCATGAGCGAGGAGGAACTCGAAGTGCTTCGAACGCAACTCGATGACCTCATTGACAAGCGTTGGATTCACCCTAGCTGCTTGCCCTACATTGCATCTGTTCTCTTCGTTCGGAAGAAGAACAAGGAGTTGCGCTTATGCATTGACTATCGTAAGCTTAATGCTCAAACAATTAAGAATGCGGGCCCGCTCCCACGCATCGATGATCTTCTCAAACGCTTGGGCGGCGCCAAGTATTTTTCCAAGTTGGACCTCAAGGCCGGTTACCACCAGCTCGAGATCCATCCAAGAGATGGATACAAAACAGCGTTCAAGACACGATACAGGCACTTCGAGTGGGTCGTAATGTCATTCGGCCTCACGAATGCCCCGGCCACCTTCCAAGCGGCAATGACAACGGAGTTTCGCGACATGTTGGACCGGTTCGTGCTCATCTACCTCGATGACATCTTGGTATATAGCCGGAATTTGGACGAGCACATCGTGCATCTATGCGCTGTTTAGGACACGTACGTACGGCCAAGTACAAGGCCAACCGAGCCAAGTGCGAATTTGCGCAGCAAGAGCTCAAGTACTTGGGCCACTTTGTGACGCTGCAAGGCATCTGTCCGCTCGCGGACAAGATCAAGGCCATTCAAGATTGGCCGGAACCAACCAACACCATGGAAGTCCGATCTTTTATGGGATTGACCGGGTATTACCAACGCTTCATCAGAGGATACGCACGGATCGCCGCACCCTTGTCAAGATGGCAGTCTCCAAAGGTGCCCTTCCAGTTCACCGACGAAGTCCGTAGTTCGTTCCACAAATTGAAGACAGCGTTGCTCCTTGCTCCCGTCTTGAGTATCTACGATCCCACCTTGCCTACGAGAGCAACTACGAACGCTTCCGGCTAAGGCATGGGTGCGGTTTTGGAACAGCACAATGGAGTAGACTGGCTCCGGTTGAGTACTCCAGCCAAAAGGTGCCTCCCATCAACTCGGTTGATGATGCGTGGAAGGAGTTGCTCGCGTTCGTCACGGTACTCGAGCCGTTGGCGACACTTCCTCCTCGGGCATCGTAGGTTCACTTGGGCGATGGATAATAACCCATTGACCTACTACAAGACGCAAGACACGGTGAACAGCACGATTGCTCGATGGATGTACTTCATCGATCAGTTCGACTTCACACCGAAACACATTTCGGGCCTCTCCAACCGAGCCACGAATGCTCTCTCGGGAAGATCAGATGTTTGCGCATTGACGCACCACGCGTTCAGTTTCGACTACGCCCTTCATCAACATTTTGTGCGAGCATACAAGTCCGATTGGGCATACGCCACGCTCTACGAGCAACTATCCTCGGATCACCCGCCGGCTAGCCACTACTGCGTCGTCGATGGCTACTTGCTTCTTCACTCACGAGGCAGGGACTTGCTATGCGTCCCACACGACCGTCATTTACGGACTCGCCTCCTCGGCGAGTACCACGACTCGACACTCGCCGGCCACTTTACCGTACGATCGCAAGACTTCGACAACCATTCCAAGGCCCGACCTCATTACCGACGTCACTCGGTATTGCGACTCTTGCAAAGTTTGCCGACGAAGCAAAACCCGCAATCGCAACCCCTAGGGAGAGTTACGCCCGTTGCCTATTCCGCGGGAACCCAGCCTTTTGATTGCTATCGATGTCACCGGCCCGTTCCCCCGTGACCGCTTCGGGCACGACGGCGTTCTCATGGTCGTTGACCGATTGAGCAAGTGCGCACGATTTCTTCCTTGCAAGTACTACGCCACGGCTCCTGAACTTGCGCGCCTCTTACACACCGGCTGGATTTGCGGCCACGACGTTCCGGAAGACATCGTCAGCGACCGCAACACTTGTTTTATGTTGCCATTTTGGACCTCCCTCATGAAAGAGTCCGGCACCGAGATGAAACCAAGTTCGGCTTGGCATCCGCAAACGGACGGGCAGACGGAGCGGGCACATCAAACCGCTCAAGTAATGCTTCACACACTCATCCGTACGGATGAGAAGGATTGAGTGGACCGCCTCCCCGACATCGAATTCGCCTACAACACTTTGTTGCACCCAACGATCGGCGTGACTCCATTCGAGTTGCACCACGGTGGCAGGAAAGGTCGTACCTTCGCTGATCTTCCATTTCCAAGGATTGTCGACATTGACGCCGCTTGTTCTCCCGCCTCCGTTCGGAAGCACAGAGACTTGCTGGCGAAAGCCCGCGCCAACATGCAAAAGGCTCAAGTCGCATGCAACAACAAGCTAACAGGCGTCGCGTGCCATGCCCTTTCAGCGTCGGCGACCTTGTTTAGGTCTCCACAGAGCAGTTTGCGCTTGAACAAGATGTGTCCCACAAGCTACTTCCAAAGTGGTTTGGACCATGGCCCGTCACATCAGCCGTGGGCGATGAGCCCGATGGCCCCTCCTTTGTGATCGAAATCCCGCCGCATCTCACGACGCACCCGGTTTTCCATGCCTCCAAGCTGGCCACATATACACCAGCCAAGAGCGACGACTTCCCGGGCTGACGATCGCAGGACCCTCCTTCCATGGATGGTCATCAGGAAGTCGACTGCG